CAGCCGGAACCTGAATACTATGTAAAAATCTTCAATTCCTTTTGTCTAATAATATAGCAAAAGGGGGGATTGATGCATTCCTTACTAGAAAAAAATATAACATAGAAATTTACTTTTGAAATTATAAGACATGCATTTTCATAGAAATTTTACTTTTGAAATTTATAAACATGCATTTTCAATTCCTTATGTGCGTTTAGTTTTGATGGTTTTGTAGGTGTTTAACATTAAAAGTTTTTTCTATCATAACTTTAGCCCAAAAGTACATATTGGAATGAAAATGAGATGTTTCAAAAGTACTACCTCCGTCCCATAAGAAGGTTCCGTCCACTATTCGTATGATCAATTGACGAGCACTTTGTCACGGTGCGTCAAAATAATATTCGATACTAACAGTTATACGTAGTAAAACTAGTAAATAAGGGGGGTTTTGGGATTGAGTGATTTAATTTAATTAAACACGAAGATGAACGACTTATATGAGATTTGATTCAAAGATAAAAAGGACTTGACATTACTACTTTCCACTTGTTGATATATTTTAATTGATCATGGTTATATCTATAACTTATCCCCTCTCGAATACTCAATCGAGGAGTAAATCCAATTCATCGAGGGTAGTTATTAACAACGACCGTTCATTAATAACCCTTACTATTAGTCAAGTATAGAACAACGCCGTATACCGATTTAATAGTAGCATTTGACCTCTTAACTCCTTGATGAAATCAATTGAGATTGATAACCTCAACACAACGGTTTTGGTTTAACCAACATAATTAATCCCTCTTAAGTTTATTAATCAGGACCGTGCATTAATAAACCGAAGTTACTTACTTGTGAAACCATCAACGATTAACCATTGGTTCGTCGATTGATTCTAGTAGTAATTAATATATGAAACAAAACTAGTTGATCCTTTAAGTAATGTTCAAAATATTAATATGAAATATGAATAGGAATTAATTAATATTCAAGGACGAATATCAAAGATGATAAATCCTACTATAACTAATGTCGAGATGTTAATTAATTGTCATCTTAGTAACACTCTCCAACATTAATATATAGATAGATTAAGGGAAGAATTAATATTCAAGGGAAGAAGTTAAGAAAATAACTCACAACCTTAACAATCAACAAGCTTCAAGAGCAATACCAAGAAATGGAAGTTTAGCTCCTCATTTGGGAGACTAAAAATGCTAGAAAAATATAAAGAAATGCTATTCTAAACTGAGCTAAGAAGTATATAGAAATTGGTTCCTAATTGTGAAAAATATGAGGTGTATTTATAGGCTTTTGGGAATGCAGCTCGGGTACCCGATCGGGTATATACACGGTACCCGACCGGGTATGTGTAAAACCTCATATTCGAAGTATACTCAATCGATTTCAGGGTTAAAATTAAAGGCATGCCCGATCGGGTGTGTCGGTGTACCCTATCGGGTATAACAACTGATCGTGGCCAAATCTTCCCCTGCACGTCCCTTTGTTTCCTGAAGTGATCTAATTGAAAATCAAGTAGGTACCCGATCGGTTATAGGGTATACCCGACCGGGTACAGGTCAAAATCAGGGACTTTCCTTCTTTGTCTTGTATTCTTGCACCTTCCTTCCTCTTTTGGTCTCACCAATTATCATTTGATTGATCCTGGACCTGTTTTAGCTCAGAATAAACCTAATCTAAACATATTACAACTATTTTACAAACATAACTATTACACCAAAAGTGTGTAATTTCCGAAATATTAAACAATCAAAACTAACTAAAAACATAAACATACAAACGGAAATTACAAGCGTATCATCAACTTAATCATTTTTAATCTTTTTCTTTGCATATCAAATTTTTATCAAATTTACATTTTTTTTGTCAGGCTTTGTAACGGTTTTAATGTAGTTTTTGAATATGTAAATTTTATTTACTAAAAATAATCAGAGTATGACATGGATTAAGTCGCTTTATCGTCAATCAAGCATCATAAACTGTAATGAGAACCTTCTAGTGAGACGGAGGGAGTATTATTTAGTAGTCTAAGGGATAAGAAGATTAAGGAGAGTTTTCAATGACTTGAAAGAAATAGTACTTAGTTTTTTCTTTTCTTTTTTTACTCCAAGGGGAGTCTAGGGGGACTGGGGGGCCTGGAGTAATCAGGATTGAAACTCAACCCATTGAGTTTTGAATCCGAGATCTCCCGTATAGTAAGGAGAGTGAGTCCGCGACCAGCTGGGTTGGACCGCTTCCTCATACTACTTAGTGTTTATTTAGTTTTTAGAGTTTTTCCATTTTTGGTCCCCGACTTTACTAGCAGGGACAATTATAGTCTCCGTCTTTTATTTTTTCCATATATAGTGCACGACTATCAAATACTTGCCACTTTTGGTCCTGTGGTTTATTTTTCCGGCTAGAAATGCACATGTGCCGTTCATGTGCCATTTTATGAAGGGCAAAAGAGTTGTTGAATTTACACCATCCCTATGATTAATATTCTAATAAGAAAACTTGCTTAGTGCTTCATCGTAATTTTAAAAAACCCTAAGCTTTTAGTCATTTTTCTTCCACATCTCTCCCATTCTTCTACAAATTTCTTCTTCGTTTCTGAACACAACAGAGGTAATGGATCGAAGGTCTTCATCTGATTCGCAGAACTCTCAAGGTCAATATTACGAGTATGGCGAATGGATTCCTTATGTATTTTGCTATTGTAATCATCAGTTAAAGTTGCAGACATCATGGCATTAAGATAACCCAGGGAGAAGGTTCTGGCAGTGCCCTATGACCAACGTAAGAGAAGAATATGGTGAATATTTTAGTTGGCGTTTTGTACTTTTCAGATTAAGTATTTGTGGTGCCATTTGTTAATTTTTTATTTCTCAGGTTTAATGTCATTTAAATTTGTATATATTTCTTTGTTTTTTTGTTGTTAGTTTGTTTCATTTCAGAGCAATGTCCTCATGGCTGGTCCTAGGGGGAGGGCAGCAGGGGCGACCGCCTTAGGCCCGAAAAAAAGTAGAAAGAAAATTAGGCCCAAGTTTTTTCGTTATATGTAATATGAGTAGGCTTCTTTTTATTTATTTATAATTTCAATTAATTAATTAGGCCTAATGTGTAATTTTTGTTGACAATTTGAGAATTTTAAAACATAAATAAAAAATCTTGAACAAAGCTATACAAGTTTTTAAGAAGAATATAAATTTAGTTTTGATTTTTAAATAGAGTTGGTTGTAAGTTAACACATTTGTTGTTGAATCAATAAAAGCACGCCTCTTCACATCTTTTTACCCTTTAAGATTTTTTATTCTTTTAATTACAAAATTACCAATTTATATTATTGTCTTTGGGCTGCCAGTGCCTCCCAATTCTCAAACATCATCCCAATTATCTATTATGCCTCAAAAACTTAATGGATTAGCAATTTTAAACATAGCACATGTGATCTTGGAAAAGATTGATTATAAAGCAACTATTTATGATTTTACTTCACAGTGTTCCTTTGTGATAGATGTGTTGTTAATTTTGTGAGTTTTGTCCAAATATGCAATTCAAATTACCCCTTTATTTTATACGAGTAACCTTTATTAGATTGTTGTAGGAAGAATTCCTCAAATAGGATTTTTTTTTGAAAATTTCAAAATAGGACTGTCATGTGTTTATTTTCTGAATAGAAGTAATTAATGTCATGTTCGGAAAATACTACCATGTGTAAAATATGATACTGCCAAAATATGTCATTAATTACTTCTATTTAGAGAATAAAAACATGATAATCTTAGTTTGGAATATACAAACGTTTTTAGTCATATTTAGAGTGATTTCTCCTAGTTTTATTATACTCCGTAATTTTTACTTTAAGTAAGTATAATTTACTGCTTGTCTTGGAAATAAGGCTAAAATAGAATATCGCCCATAGGTCCAAAACTGGACAGGACCGGCCCTGAATGTCCTATTGTATTTTCTGGTTTGTTTCATTTCAGAGCAACATGTCATGTGGATTTATGCAATGGTTTGACCCTCCTATGTGCAACAGAGCAAAGAGGATTATCCCGGGGTTACTGAGAAAGATCAACTGTCATGAAGAAGAAATTCAGAATTTGCAGAAAAATATTAAAAGAGACTGAAATAAGGGTGAAAAAGAAGGAAACTTGGAAGTTGTTGTCTCTAAAAAGAATGTCAGCAGCCCTCTTGATGATTCTGATTGTCAAGTGTAGTGTGTGGCTTTAAATAGATGGAATGGGATGTAAAGTAATTAACTGCATTCAGAATAATCTCCCTTACCATGGCGGATCTCTCTTAATGTATCATTTTGATTGATCCAAGTTGGATTAGTTTCAAGTGAAATGACTCTGTTTGTAAAAGGATTACCATAACTAGCAGTGTTAGGTAATCCTTAGTTGTGTTGTATGAAGTTTATGTAACAGTTTAACTAATGTATGAGAGTTTGTTTTATTTATGAAAGAATATTCCTACTTTATATTTAGAATGTGAGCAATGAAACCCCAAATTCAGAACAATATTCATACTATTGTAAACTAGAAGGCTGCCCTAAAACTGGAGTTTGTTCAGAGATTAGGAAACAATGTCTTCTTGTCTCTTAATATAAAAGGGACATTAAAAAAGTTTTAACACATACCAAACATTTGGTATGTAATCAGTTCTGCACTGGTCTTCCATATTCTTTAAAATCCAGGGAATACAAACACCAAGCATTATAAAGCATGCAGCAGACAACCAAGCACTAGCATTACTTCAAACAACTGGATACTATAAAACAATGTGAATATGTAAAAGTAGCCAAATCAATTCTTATATTTGTGAACTTGATGATGTCCCAAAATCTGTCTGTTGATTTGTAATCACTTCATGTAACCCAAAAATATAGTTAAAAAACAAGATCAACAAGATACAAATTGTACAACTGCATCAATGTTTTCAAGAAGATAAAATCCTAACAAAAAATTTCTAAGATTAATCACTTCAGTAAAAATAACAAATAATCTCCAGCTGCACCAGTGTTCACTCTCTTCTCTGTTTACTCAGGGTTTGCATCAACTGTTGCCTCAGAAGACCCCCCCCCCCCCTTCTTACTCTTTTTCTCGCCTTACTCTGCACATAAGACAAACAAAAATTAAAGTATTAATGCTTCTCATCAGAATTAAGAAATCATTTCATATTTTTTCATATCAGATTACTTACTAGTTTGTTTATGTTCGTAGGATCTTCTGGACACCCTTGGCACTTCAAGGGTGTTGTGCCATGTTGCTAGAGCATTGTCGGTGAGTGTAAAATCTTCAAATCCTCCATACTCATCTCTCAGTACAGAGTTCTCCTCAATGATATACTCACCTAACAAACCAATATCCCATTCATAGTTTCCTGTAAACTGATCGGTTTAATTAACACTACCCAGATTTCTTGCAAAGTCATAATCATCATCTTTTCTTGTTGTCCTACACACTACCCAGATTTCTAACATTCTTCTTGAACCTAAATTTTTAGTCATGCTCCAAACCTGTTTCTCTGGTTAGTTTTTCCAGACCATGGTGTGAAAGTAAGAAAAACTCAAGTTCTTCTATGTTACTGTCTCCTAATTCCTCCATTTTTTCGGTTAGAGCTATAACACCAAACTCATCAGCAACATCCTCTTTAAAGAAGTCTATTTGACCTCCCAGATACACAGGTGGTGTAGTGTGTAAGTCAATATTTCCTCCATGTAACACTTTTAGTGTAAATAAGCTACTGCTTTCATCTGAAAAATGGTGTAAATTAATACCGTTATTTATGTATGTATTATCTACATGTTTGTACAAAAATGTTGAAAAGTTTAAAGCCAAATGTAAATTTTCTAATAGCATTGAAGGCCACGCTTCTAAGAAATTTGAAGTCTGACTCAACAAAAATCAAGCCAAGTTTAGGCAAGTTAAAGCCCTGGGCTTTATTTTTCACAATTATAAAGAAATTAATTAACTCAAATCACTTACTAGTTGGTTGAGTAAACTAGAGAAAAGAGATGTACTCCTAAAGAGTAAAGATTCATGCTTCGTAGTTGCAATTATTCTATTTGTGTGCTGCTAAAACTATGGTGGAACTTATTGCAGTAGTGCAACTACTATAGTCAACTTTACCGTATTGCAGTGAAGCTTGTGCGCTACCTCCTATGGAAGAATTCTCCATGATTACTCTACAACGTTGATTCCTTGCTTTTCTGTGAAGGCCATGTATGAACGCAGATGGGTATTTCATAAGCGGGAAAGTGACTGGGTTATATTGTGAGCGGAATGACTGTTTTAACCTTCGTATAATGCCACACGAACGGCACGTTTGCGTTTTTATACCAAAAATGGAAAAACTTCTTAGTTTTTATATCAAAATAGTCATTTTCATCTCTTTGAAGTTAAGGATTGTTTTTTAATTTGCAATATGAGATAATTTGTATTCAAAATCCCGTGCATCGCACGGGTACTAATTACTACATGACGAGCACTTTGTCGTGATGTGCGTCAAAATAAATTCAATACTAGCACTAATACGTAGTATAGTGAAGTAGAGTTCGTGTCCACAGGGAAAGGAATATTTTTCTTTTTATGAAACTAGTAAATAAAAGAGGGGTTTTGGGATGGAGTGATTAAATTAATTTAAATACTAAGATGAATTAATTAATTAATGAGATAAAAGACTTGACTTTGCTACTTTCCACTTGTTGATATGTTTGTTGATCCTTGTTACTCCCTCTGTCCCTAAAAGAAGTTCCATTTCGCTTATCGAGGGTCAACTTAAATCACTCTTAAACTCTTACTTTTTATATCAAAATTTTATAAAAGTTGAATTATTTTTTGCAGGCTTTGTGGCGGGTTTAATGTAGGTTCTGAACATGTAAAATTTATTTACTAAAAATAATCCGAGTTTTCACAGGGATCATTTAACTTTATCGTCGGTCAACCTTCGTAATCCGCAATTGGAACAACATTTAGGGACGGAGGGAGTATATCTATAACTTATCCCCTCTCGAATACTCAATCGAGGAGTAAATCCAATTCATCGAGGGTAGTTATTAACAACGACCGTTCATTAATAACCCTTACTATTAGTCAAGTATAGAACACCGCCATGTACCGACTTGATAGTAGCATTTAATCTCTTAACTTCTTGATGAAATCAATTGAGATTGATAACCTCAACACAACGGTTTCGGTTTAACCAACACAATTAATCCCTCTTAAGATTATTAACCACGACCGTGCATTAATAACCCGAAGTTACTTGTGAAACTACCAACGATTAACCATCGGTTCGTTGATCGTTTCTAGTAATAATTAATGTCGAAGCGTTAACTAATTGTCACTTAGCAACACCCCAACATTAATATAGAAATAAGATTAAGGGAAGAATTAATAATCAAGAGAAGAAGTTAAGAAAATAACTCACAATTTTAATAATCAACAAACTTCAAGAGCAAAACCAAGAAATGGAAGCTTAGGTCCTCATTTGGAGACTAAACATGCTATAAAAATATAAGAAATAGCTATTCTAAACTGAGCTTAAGAGTATGGAAGAAGGGATGATTTTATTGTGAAGGAAAATGGGTGTATTTATAGGTGTTTGGAGGTGGCAGGGTTGTGTACACGATCGGGTATATAGGGTACCCGATCGGGTATTTTAGGCAGTTTTCCGGAAAATCACTTTTCTAGACATACCTGGTCGGGTATGTAGGCATACCCGGTCGGGTATGAGCTAAATCTTCAAAATCTCATACGTTTTTTTGTCTCTCCAGATTCTGATTTTGACACCCGAATCAACTCAATACCCGATCGGGTATTGCCTATACCCGACCGGGTATATGAAATATTTTCTCAATCTTCTTTTTATCTTGTCCCCTTGCACTTTCCTTGATTTTTGGGGGTCCAATCTTGATCCTTTGGATGATTTTGACCTGTTTTAAGCTCAGAATAATCCTAATCTAAACAAATTACATCTATCTAGGAAAATAAACTAATTACACCAAAAGTGTTTAATTTCTCTAACTATAAACAATAAAACTAATTAAAAGTGAAACATTACATAATAAAATCACAACATTATCACTATGTGTTGGGTTAATGGCCCAAGTCGAGGTTCGGCCCATTTATCCCTTCCAGACAAACGTCCAGGTAGATCACCGAGCTAACCTGGCAAGCCCATTTTCTCCAGGAGAGACGAACGTCTGTGGTTGGGCCAGGCTCAACGGCCCATCTCGACGAACGTCTATGCAGGGACAAGGAGTAGGACCACGGGTCGCCCGGATGACGACGAACGTCGCCAGGACAAGCCTATAGCCATCAGAGGCGGTCCACTCCGCTTGGCGAGAATCCACCTGGAGCCAAAGGCCAGGGGGACGAACGGCTGATACCCCTTGGGGGCCACCTGGAGCAGTCCAACTCGCTCCCCTGGCGGACGGACGTGCCCACTAATTAGGCGGGAAACCTAGATTCTGGCGGGAAGTGCATTTAATGTTGAAGATTTGGTGGTTGAGACACCAGCGAACCACGGGCTTCCACGTCAGTATAGCCACCTGCCCATTGGTGGGTATAAATAGAAGCATTTATTTCATTGTAAAGGGTTGGCAACTTTCTATTCTTAGCACTCTAGCTATAGCATTCTTACTCGCAGCACTTCTACTGCCTTGTAAGACGAACGGCCGACGGAGCCCTAGCGAAAAGTATTGTATTAGGGAGTTATTAAGAGATAATAATACCTAATCACTTACTTGCTACTTCTTGTCTCTTTGATCCATATCATCTGCTTGTTGGGCTAGGTATTCATACGCACTCCACTCGAAATCCTTGGGCTTACGTGTTGGACCCGAGGGTTGAAGGAATAAGCCTCAACACTGGCGCCGTCTATGGGAAAGCGCTTATGGGGCTTGATGAGACCGCATACTGCGAATACCACCAGAGGGTCGGCCACCTCACCGACAACTGCAAACAGCTGAGGATGGCCATCGACGAGCTAATCCGACAAGGCTACCTGGGCGAGTTCACCCAGCTACTGAAGAAGAATAGCCCGAGGCAGCCGAATCCAAGGTCACGATCATGGCGCCGCGACGATCGGCGCGAGGCAGAACCAAAGGACGTAGACTACTGAAGTGCTGATAAACGTCCGGAGGGGTCCCTCGGCCCGAACGGCGGGAAGAAGAAATTGGAGATCAAGGTGATCTTCGGGGGCGCTGAGACCGGGGACACACCTGCGGAGCGGAAAAAGTTTGAGAGGTCCCTCTATGTGGGCTCCATATCAGCTCCCCCCACCAAAAGGAACAAGGTGGAGGCCATCACCTTTGGACCGGCCGACCTACCTATGTCACCGGCACCGCACAGGGATGAGCTGGTGATCAGCATGGATATCAACAATGGGATCGTCCGCCGCGTCCTTGTTGACACCGGGAGCAGCGTGAATGTCCTCTACTGGGAGGCGTTCGAAGGGATGAAGCTGAGGAAGGATCAGTTGGCCCCTCTACGCACCCCTCTTTCTGGCTTCACAGGAGATTGCATCGATGCGGAGGGCATCATCGACCTCCCCGTGGAGATCGGGGATGGACCTCACACCACCCGCATCCGGATGACGTTCGTCGTGGTCCGCCTGAAGTGTGCTCACAACGCAATTTTGGGCCGACCCGGCCTGGAAGATCTTGAGGCCATATGCTCCGTGCGGCACTCATGCATCAAGTTCCCCACCGAGACTAGAGTGGGAGTGGCCTGCACGGACCCGCACATGGCCAGGGCCTGCTACACCAAGGCCATGGAGAGGTTCAGCGAGCGAGAAGCCCGGGTCAATAGCATCACTGGGAAGGCCAGACAGGCCAACTTCGATGCTCGTCTGGAACCAGCTGCCCTGCTCGAAGAGGTGGAATTGGATGACCCTTCGGACAGGAAGGTGTCCATAGGCGCCGACCTTGAGCCTGAGATCAAGGAGGGGGTCATAGCTGTCCTCCGGAGATTCAAAATCCTGTTTGCCAGAGGGCCGGAGGACATGCCTGGCATAGACCCCAACCTCATATGTCACAGACTCGCCGAGCGGCCGGATGCCAAACCCGTCCAACAGAAGAAGAGATACATGGCGGCTGACCGGCGAGACTTCATCAAAAAGGAGGCTGCTACGCTCCTCAGCATCAAACATATTCGGCCGGTCATCCACGTGGAGTGGTTGGCCAATGTGGTATTGGCCCCAAAGGGCGACACATGGCGGATGTGCGTCGATTACTCGGACCTCAACAAAGCCTGTTCAATGGATCCATATCCGGTGCCGAGGATCGACCTGCTCGTAGATGAAACGGCGGGCTGCGAGCTGCTCAGCTTCATGGATGCTTTCAGGGGATATCATCAGGTGTTCATGCACCCAGACGATGCGGAGAAAACAGCGTTCGTCACGGCGGACGGCGTGTACTGTTACGTAGTCATGCCGTTCGGCCTGAGGAACGCCATGGCTACCTTCCAAAGGATGATCGGGATGTTGTTCAAGGACGTACTGGGCAAAACCATGGAGGCCTACGTGGATGACATCCTGATCAAAAGCAAGGAGAAGGACGACCACATTCGGGACATGGAAAGGATCTTCACCATCATGGAAGGGGCTAGCATGAGGCTCAATCCGAAGAAATGTGCCTTTGCTGTCAAGGGTGGCAAGTTCCTCGGTTATATGATGAGCGAGCGAGGGATCGAGCCCAACCCGGAGAAGGTAAAGGCAATAGTTGACATGGAGGCCCCAAAGAATCTGAAGGACGTACAGCGGCTCACCGGGCGGCTGGCAGCCCTGAGCCGGTTTATGTCAAAACTAGCAGACAAGGCGATCCCTTTCTTTCAGATCATGAAGAAGGCGAATCCCTTTGAGTGGACACCGGACTGCCAGGCTGCCTTTGAGGATTTCAAGGCATACCTCTCTTCTCCGCTCGTCCTCACCAAAGCGGATCCAGGGGAACAGCTGTACATGTATCTGGCAGTGGCAGACTTGGCTGTGAGTGCGGTGCTACTGAAAGAGGCAGAGGGCGTGCAGCGGCCAATCTATTTTGTGAGTAAAGCGCTGAACGGCCCAGAAACCAGGTACACACTGATGGAGAAGACGGTCCTCGCCTTGATAGCATCCATCAAACGTCTGGCACCGTACTTCCAAGCACACCCAGTGACAGTATACACAACACAACCTCTCGCCACAGTCCTCAGGAACCCCATGGCCAGCGGGAGAATAACCAAATGGTCCCTGATGATCGGCCAATACAACATAGAGTTCAAGCCGAGGCCGACGATCAAGGGGCAGGCGCTGGTGGATTTTATTGCCGAGTGTACTGCGCGCACCGAGGATGACCCCCAAGGCGACAATGATTTCAACAACTGGTGGGAGATGTACACTGATGGGGCCTCGAGTGC